GTTGGAAGCTTCTCCCTGTCTCTCCTATGTATGTTTTTCCACATGTCTATTTACTGAGAACAGTTTTTCAATAAGTACATGAAAAGAGCCTTGGCTTTATTCTCTTTAAGTGTTCGACCGAAAGAAAAACAAAGAGATGTTTGTCCTTCCAGCGTTCAACAGCATATTCAGCCCCTTTCATGTCAAGGCACAGGGTACAAGTGGACACGCAAGCACCGATTAATGCACTGTGTATTCAATATCATCCAGTACAACGGCCGAGGTCATAGGATAGGAGTGCTGCACTGAGATGAAGGTTTTTCCAGGAGTCTGAAAGACAAAGGAAGCGACACGGCGGCACTGTTGTGAAGAAACACAGCTGCAAAACAATGAGTATACATGCTTTATGTACATAAAATCCCATCGTAGCTCATGAATAATTTATGGGAAAACAGAATGAAACAAGAGTGTTTGGAGTGAAATATGAGCATAGCATATGCAAAACTACATCGAATGAAAAGCTGAGCATACAGAAAGAAACCTGAGAATAAAGAAACCTGAGACGTGCTGAATGAACGATAAAGCTGAGGGGAATACAAATGCGTCGTGACCTGACAACATCACCTGTGGTTGAAATTGCTCGGTAATTATGTCACTATTAAAAATTAAGTTTTGAAGTTAGTGCTCATTTCTTCCCCTGGTGTTGAATCCAAGAAATTTCTGAATCGGAGCACAACACAGCTCTGCCCTGAGGGACTTGCCACCTCCTGGGATCTCTCCTTGCAGCGGCACTGAGGATTTTAAGTGAATTAACAAATGGAGTGCAATTGGAACACTGGTTCTGGAGAGAAAAACACGTCATTTTGTTTTGAACGCCACAAACTGGTAGGGATTGCGCATTGCTTGCCTGATTAGCCGGTTCCAGAGCAGGGTCAGTATGTTGCTGGTTTGGTTCACTATAAAACTAAGCCTAGTGATATTTTGAGGAATACACAGATCTGCTTTCTGAACAAGTTTTAGCTAAGAACATTGGAACTACTGTCATATCTGTCTGGCAAATACAGCCAATAAGAGTCAAGTTTAGCTTTGCACAAAAACTGCAAATTGGGGAAAAAGAGAATGTTGGTGCTAAACTAAGTTAACCGTCTCCTGGCTGTTCCCTTACAAATACAAAAGATTTGTGGCTGATTTACAGAAAAGACACTAGTTTGCCAAAAAAAAATTGCTATAACAAATTTGCCAATGTTGGCCTATAGCAGCAAACTTTCAGCAACATTCTGGCAATAATGACAAGTTTGCCACTTCTGGCAATTGTCAGTCAGTTTGTGTTTGGCACTCTGGCAACAATGGCTTATTCATAGTCTCAGTACTCGCACGGCGATGCAGTGATTAGCGCTGTTGCCTCACAACTAGAAGTTTGTGGTGGGTTCAACTGTGCTCAGATGGCGTCCTTGTCTGTATGTGTGTTTTTTTTTTAACAGTTTCTCCCAAAGTCCACACACATGCGTGGCAGGTTAAATAATGATTCTAAATGTGATTTCAAGTTGAGAATGCAAGCATGAATGGTTGTCTGTTTCCCTGTGACCTTGTGATGGACTGGTGGCCTGTTTGGGGTGAACGCTGCCCAGTGCCAGCTGGGATACGCTCCAGCCCTCCTGTCACTCTCTGAAGGATAAACTGGCTGCAAACATTCTACAGTGAAAAATAGACTTAAAAATCAACTGTTTGCTATACCTCTTCCACAAAGCTACCGGAAGGTCAACTGTATGTTTGCATGAATCTAATTTGCACATGAAGACATGACCTTTAACACTGCCAAAGTTTCGAAACCTGAACTTTATTTGCAAAAGTTGTCATCTAACTCTGCAAATGTTTCCTAAAGAGGCCAAACTTTTACTTTAATAGCTGAGCAAAGATCCATCTGCTGCACAGTTTTAGCCTCATTATAGTTGCTGTGGCTTTAGCAGTCTTTCACTAAGTCTTTAGCAGGACAAACAGAGCATATGGCATGAACTGGAGTGTTTTCAGTCACCAGCAAGTGGAGCTCCAATGCATAAAACTCCCGATTCCGTTAGTGACACAGATGCTTCAGTATGGCCTACTCACTTGGCTTGACGATTCGGTGCTGAAGAGTCTATCTTTCCGTCTTTGCAAGCTTAAATTCACAGAAACCATCCGAGTGTAAGTTTATAGGATTTCTCACAGCATTAATTATAATGTCTCAAGCTGCTTGTATTGATTGTTTCAACGTAGTCTGCATCCATATTTTGTCAACTCTGTGTTTTGCAGTGCATCCACAGCAGAGCGCGGAGGTGATTAGTGGGGTGATTTAGAACATGACAGCTATTGCATAAGAGGTCAATTCTCTAATTGGTGCTCTTGCACTGAAACTCCTCCACTGCTGAAAACAAAGCAAGTGACAGAACATAAAGAGGAAAGGTGCAATTACTGTTCACTTAAATGGACCAATCAGGTGCCATCAGGCCCATTGTTCTCACTCACAAGAGAAAGTAATCCAGCTCTGAAAAGGCAGTGATTGCAGTGCGCCAAAAAAAAAAGAAAAAAAAAAAGAAAATTCAACTCTGAATCCATGGGAATGCTATTAAGACTGCAACCGGACTGTGAATGGACTGTTAATACTGACGGACTGCTCCACCGAGACCATTAGAACTATTCTGAAAGACCAAGTGAGACCATTGCTATTTGCTTTCCCAGCCTAATTCTTCTTTTTAAAACGTTTCACGTTTGGCCATGCCTCTGCCGTTTGTCTTCATTTAGGAGCCATTTCTGTAAAAGATGAAAAAAAACCCAACAAACTTTTAATAGTGAGCTTTAATTCCTTTCTTCATGCTCTCAAACACTTTGACTCATGCACAAGTCTTTAGATTTTAATATAAATGCACGGTTGCCTGGGTGACAATCCACACAATACAATTTCTAATTGTGAGAAAATGTCAATTTAAATTCAATAAAACATTCATTTTGTAAAAGAAAAAAAAACAACATATCCTCTTTGTGTTGTAAAGGCGACAACGGGGATAAAGTGTCGCCAGCAGGTATTTGAAGGGTCGTGTTACCCAAGTGACACACCGCAGTTGACCACCTCCTCTCATTTTTTTCTTCCTCTTCCCTCCCACTGAGAAAAGAGGCCAAGCATCTGAAGACCCGTGGGTCAGTGTGCACTTAGGTTTTCATTAATAATGCACAGCCTTCCATTTGAACCAGCAAGCTGTGGAACAACGCAGTGGGACACGGCGCATGCAAGTTGTTCATACTTTAATCATAAACACCGCTGTGGAGAACCTGCCTTTCAGACCGCTGTGCTGATACTGACTCAGCTTTCACCTTTGCGAGCTGTCACTCCAAATATCCATGTGTTTCATCTGTGGGCGCAGCCGATTTGTTTGTGTTTGGATTTTTTTTTTGTGTGTGTGTGTGTGCACGCATTAGCACATTTATATGGCAACACACTGTGTGGATGGAGAGTTTCGAGGAATGATAGTATCACAATGGAGTCTAGATTTCATTGTTCCTCCTACTAGAGATAAAAAGTAATTGTGTTTGGACAAAGATGCCAGTATCTTAAGGTTAAATTAAAACACAATTTTGAGATTATTTTCCCACCTGTTCCTATATCCTGCGAACACTGAGCTAAAACCATGTTCCAGCAGATCTGTTTTTGAAATTAAAATGATTTCTAAGTACTAAACATAATGAATTTTTTAAAATAAAGTCCTGGAATTTCGATCTGAAAATCTCACAGAAAAGCAATACTGTAGATATTTTCTACTGTATTTCAGACATACTGTATGTATACAGTGTTAAAAGTTGTAGACTGACAGAAAATTGATATTCTACAGTGTTGTTGAGAAGCTGATTATTCTAGGGAGAAATATTGAGTGGTTCAAGCTTCCCAAATGGAAGGATTTGTCATTTTATTAACATATTTAAGAAATTAATCAATAAAGAATGCACTACTGTTTTGCTTTGGTAAGAATATTTATATATATACACAGATTTATATAGACTCATATATGGCCATATGGATAACTTCTCAATATATATGGATATATTAGATGATTATGGATAAATGAACACACTATGTACCAGAAATTACAACATTTTCCCACCAAAAACCACCATTCCATGACAAAGCAGTTGCATCCCCTCACATTTCAGACATACAATGTGTTTGGTTAGTTTGAACCTCAATGAGAAATCATGACATCCAGCCATTGACCATTAGAGTGAATGGGCAATTCCAGCAAAACTTCAGAATAATGGCAATTGTCAATTCAGAAATATTTCAATTACTGCATCCCATCTGCCTTCACCATGTGAGCTGAACTACTGGCAATTCAAAGAGCTAAACGCGGTCCCTTAAGAAGCCATCATTAGCATAAATATTGATTGCAGGACCTGGTATTTCTCTTAATCATATAAAGGCAGGATGTTAATCACGACACTGTGGTGGATATATGTTTGAAGAATTTTAAAACTAAGTGGGGACACTTCAACATTGTGTGGAACAACACAAGTTAAGCTGGATTTGAAGGATGATCATTATTTTATTTTGAAAAGGGGCTCCAAAACAAGAAAAATAAAGTTTGTGCTGAGCAGATGTCAGATGTCTCTCATGCATTGTGCTAAATTCTGTCTCCAGGCTTGCTTGACTGTGAAACATCTCCCCCCCAACACACATTCATGCCACATTCAAATGGGATCCAAACCTTGGAGCTGCACACTGATTTTTCTGTGTGAAATAATTGGCTGCTGAGGAAGAAGCATCTTTTTTTTTTTTAGCCAATCAAGAATGAGAAGCCCACAAGTTATTAACCTGAATGATCACCACTAAGTCACTGGGGCTCTCGGGGATAGGGAGGAGTGTGTGTGTGTGTGTGTGTGTGTATGTGTGTGATGCTGGTGCGAATATGACGGTCATAAATCCCTGATTTAACTTCAGTGGCCGTCTGAGAGTCTGCAACCAACCAAGGTCTCCTCCTGCTGCCTGAACCGCCAGCAGGCTGCGTGTCTCCTCAGATGCTGAGGGAGTAGCTGAGGAAGGAGGGTGGGGGCAGCAGACGCACACACATACAAAAAAAAAAAAAAAGATTTCAGCACCGGAGCTGTCCGTTCTGCTCTTGGAGAAGACTCTATTCGTGCTGAAGGGAGAAGAAGAGGAAGAAGCTGGTGATTTTTCTTTTCTCTGCGGGACTGCTGAGGAGGATAACAAACAGCTGGTACCATCCATCTCCCTTCGGACGGAGGCGAGGAAAAAAAGGCGCACAGACTTCATTCGCGTCTTGCCATGCTGGACGGCCGGGCTTGAGACAGAGAGGATAAAGTCTCATCCCCCTCTCCTTACCCCCTCCCCAATCCCCTCAAAATAGGTTGAACACCAGCCTTGTCTTTAACGGTGAGTCACACATTTTGGAGATGTTTTTTTTTTTTTTCTGTGAAAATGTTGCGCGGGACGCATTCAGTTTTTACGCTGGGGCAGAACTCATATGTAGGTGGATGCCTCATTACAGATGCTTGTATGGGAAGCGTATTTAGGTCAGCATCCATATGGGTGTGGATGAGAGAGCCGCGGTTGGTTTCAAACTACAGGAGGTGTCTCGTTTCATATCTGATCGACGAGAAACTGGAGTGAGAAAGAGGGGAGTTCTTTACACTATACATAGCTCACATGCACGTCATTTTGGCACGGGGGTGACTGTTAAAGCACCAGGCTGTTCTCTAGAACCTCATCCAGTAATGGGAGCAACTAATGGCACGGCTGGCTGATTCAGAATCCTCTCTGCAGCTCTAGTTGTAGTTTTCTGCTGCTTCTGTCCCAGGTGGGGGGAGACTTGTCCATTAGGCTCCTCCATCAGTCTTTGTTTACAACCCCATTCTTGTTATCTCCTGGCCCACAGAGGGTCCATAAGTGGGTTTTTTTTCGTTGCTTTAACCTTGGAGTGAGTCCTGCCCCTCGGTCTGTGACAAGATCCCCCTGCAGCTCTGAGCTTCGCTTCTGCTCTGTGCTCATTGTCAAAACTCTCTCAGAGCTGGCAAGGTGCTCCTCGCCTGGCAGCGCCTGAATGCTAACATCATGTCTCCAGTCCTAACGATGCATTGAGATTTAAATTCCCCAATTCAGGCACTTCTCAAGCTGCATTTCAAACCCCTTCTGTGCATTTTTTTTTTTTTGCTGAAGCCCAGAGTGTGCTTGTTGTTGTGGAAGGATGGCAGAAGGAGGCAATGAAATGCCAGAAGGAGAGTTGATGTTTCATGCATTTTCTTTTTCCTAAGGAATCAGAATCATCCTTTTTGGATTCGAGTCACACGTTTATCCTGTGTGTGTCCGAGTGCACGTACGTCTGCGTGTCTTTAGCTGCTTTCCTAATGATTCCACTCACTGGCTATTACGGGGATCTGGGTGAACTCGTTAGTGTAATTAGTTCCAGGTCTTTGCTTCCCTGGTCTGTGGGTGAGATCTTCAGCTAAAGGCGGATTCATTCCCATGAAAAGGCATGCTTTGTGGTGCTTCCATTCAAAAACTCTCTCTTCCCCCCCCGCCCCCTCTCCTCCTCTTCCTCTGAAACAAGGAATGAAAAGGAGGACTGGTTGGGATTCTAATCAGCACATACCAGTGACATCCAACAGCTTTGGGAAGGCAAGCGTACAGTCAGAGAAACACACACCCAGAGTTTAAACGTCCTTTCTGCACTTTTACGATCTAAAACAGCGCTGCTGGTTGGTTGTGTTTGATGTTAAATTTAAGGCAGTTACATAGACTAAACTTATCTCTTGTAAAGCAGTGGATACATTTACAGCTCCGAGTGGTGTGAAAGTACCTCAAACGAAACAACCCTAGAAGGAAGAAATGTTCTCTTTCGGTTGAGCTGCTAACAAGGCATGTCTGCACGGCAGCTGCAATCTGCGAGGAGCAAAATTGGCTGTTTTAATGCATGAGAAAGTGTTGATACCGGTCGCTAATCGTAATCTTGTCTCCCTTAAAAACGCTTTCATTCTGTTGTCAAGACGGCAAAGGAAGTTATAAGGTCCTGTCTGGTTTTTTCAGAGAACCCCGAGTGATCAAATGTACCTATATTCTATAGAGGAGCTGCCTATTTGGCCAATTACATGTTTCAGACTTGTCTAGTTGTGCTGTGACTTTTCTCAGCAGCGGTGAACTATTTTTTTCGGACTGATAAATGGCTGCTCAGTAAGCTCAGTGACTTCGCCATGGTGACACTCGAATAGCAGAGGGCTGAATACTAATATAGACTTTAAGGTGTCCCTGTTGGCCTCTACTTGCAGGAGGAAATAGATTGCAATTCAAAATGAAGATTAATTTCCTTCACGAAACAACTTCAGGTGGAATCTGGATTTTTTTTAAAACTTTGTGCTTCTGCAGCTGGAAGAAGTTGCCCTACATGATCCGGCACTGGTGTTAAACTGAGGAGTAGTGTGGACAGACTAAAAAAAGGATTCCTCATAGGAGCAGAAAAGAATCACAAGGATTTCAAGAGCACTTTGGTGCCACCTCCCTTTGAAATTATCAATATTTAATTAAAACAAGAAGCTCCTGAGAGCTTCATCATCCGAGAGCTCGTCATAGGCAATTGCTGACATGAATCAAGACCCTGAACGTGTGTTGAACCTAGATTCCACTCGCGAAGGTACATAAAACATCGGAGAAAACAGTGAGGAACAAAATGAATGCTTCACTTACTCCGCACACTAAAAAAAAATAAATAAAAAAAAGTGGTGTTTTGCTTACGGATTGAGAATATTTCACGCCAGACATGAAAATGAGTCAATATCTCAGTCTGTCGCGGTGCAGCCTGACAGAATAACATTTCCTCAGCCATATATGTCAGGTTCTGCCCCAAGGAGTGGCCCTGTTTCCCTCCTCCCCTCCCCTTTCGTCCAGATCTTTTTTTATCCAGGGGCATTTAAATCATTCAGAGGGGTCCAGGAAGGAGAGCAGAGCATCCGAGGCAGCTGTACTCCTGCAGGAGCCCAGTGATCGTCAAGCCTGAGGGAGTTTCATCCTCCTTCGCCTTGGTATTGCCCATCAAATGCAATATGGAGGCAGAATCTGAGCTTTAAGTGGAAACATTTTTTGGATACGTTTGACATTTGAAGGCAAATTTAGGAAAGGGAAAAAAATAAAAAATCACTGCAGCATTATGAGGAAAGAAAGTCAAATAATGCTGTAAACAACATTAAACTTCTTTTGTCAGGAAATGAAACCACACCTGAAAGCGCAGGGATTGTGTTGTCAAAGCTAATTTCTGGAAATCTTTTTTTTTTCCCCACCGTTTGCCTTCACTTTGTTTCTTTATTTTTAGCAAGACTCACCTTGTAATAAAACACCCCGACTGACAGTGATATATATTCTTCAAAAAACTATTCACCGTAGATTTTCAGTAGCTGGGCTGTCAGGGATGGAAAAAAACAAATACATCACATCTGTCTTCCTCTCTCAGGGCGTTTAGACGCACAAACGTCACTGTCATTCAGGTGGGAGGAAGGGTTTATTCGTTTGACAGGCCTGTGGTCAGATGCTTTCGGATCTCAGACTTCGCGAGGCGACCGAGTGGCAGGTTACCCGGTGCTATCTAAATGCGTGAAGGTATCAAAGCAAAAGCGTTGACCCATTTGTGTCAGAATCGACTTGTACGGGGAGGAAGAGAGAGAGGGAGAAAAAAAAAAAAGTACAAGGCTTTTATTTAAAATTCATAAGTTAACCTGAAAATGACAAGGTCTTCTGCTTGCTCACTTACTTCCTCATCAGCAGCGGCTCCACTCTCGGCTCTGTTTGGAGAATGCAAATGCTGCTTTTGCTTTGTTTCCAGTCCTCTTCTACCCTCTGGCATTGTGTACTTTGTACACAGACGAGTGTAGAAATCTGTTCAATGTGATGAATTAGGGTGTAGATTTTATTAATAAGGCTAATAAAACAAGAACTTTTTTGTTCTACAGGAGAGAAATTAGATTTTTTCAAAGGATATTGAAATCATATAGGTTCTATTTGCTGCTGGCATTCATTTCAGGGAGTGCATGAATACCTTGAGGCTTGTAATGGTTTCTTTTTATTGTTTCTTACCCCTCCACCCCTACTGTTTATGAAGCCTATTCACTTTGCTGGCCATTAAAGAACAATTTGTTTTCAGTTGATTATCTCATTTACAATGGCACGGCCCATTATCTGCACTGCACAATAACCAAGCAACCAGTTGTGGCAGCAGCATTTAACCAACACATCAACCGTTGCGCTGGTATTTTAAGGCTTCAGGCATGCAAAAGCTTATAAACTGTCTTTTTTTTCCTCCTCTTATGGTCATGTGAACAGAGGCAGCAGTTTTACAAGCTGGTCCTTGCAGGCATCTCTGGCATCTCGAGGCTTTTCTCTGTCTAAAGTCTGTGCCAGCGCTGCTATGAGCCTGAGTGGAAAGGTCACTTCAGTGGATAATTAAGTCCCCATAATAATCACTGTGCCATCCTGTGTTGTGATCACCACATCTCCTCTATTTACAGCCCACTCATTAGCTGCAGAGGACCAGGCTTCTGGTAAGAGATTTTCACATACTCAAGTGGTTCAAACCGGATATAATCTTAGTGCTATTGTGGCTTTTTTTTTTTGTTTCTATTTTGTTTTTATCTTTATCCTGCTTCTGTCTTGTGAGCTTAGTTGTTGATGGTCTGTGTGGTAAAACTCTTCGAAAACTAACCTTCTTAGTATACTCTGTTTGTTTTTTGTATATTGTTTGGAATTTCCACTTTATTGGATGCTGTTTGTAGATATACAGACAGGGAAAAGGGAGGAAAGGAAAGGGAGCTTAATATCAATTACTTTTTGAATGATACATTGGACTTGAGTTAGATAAGTCATCCTGTATAGCTACAAATGACTACAGAGTGCATATACCTAAAACCAGTAAACAATTCAACCTGGTGGAGTGTTTGGTACCTTCTTTGAATGTTTCATGTTTAGGTTATTGGTAGGATGTAGGGTTGTTAATTAAATTCAGAATGACATGAACCTCGACACGAAGCGCTGCTGAAATGCCTTTGTTTATTTATGTTCTACACAGGTTTAATTAAAAGATGGCTTTTTACGATTTATCCTATGGCATCAATCGGCTATCAATCACGACTTGTAACCAATCAGATCGTGATCTGGGCGGGACCTTGTTCGAGACTACAGATAGAGAAAGAACACATTTTGAAATGAAGTTATTTAATCAAGAATCACTTTTAAAAAAAAAAACAACAACATTAGCATTAACATTAAAAATGCATTATTTGAAGAGATGCCAGAAAAAATGTTGTTTGATGCTTTCAAATTCATCTTGTGTCCTCTTTTGGGCCAGGGTTGGGGTGTGGTCTCACGTCCACCATCGCATTTTTTAGACGATAGTGATCTGGTTGCACCACACTATTATTCTGCTACAGGAGGAAAACTTTGTCTTTAAACCAATCACAGTCATTGTGGGTGGAGCTAAGAGAAGGACGTAGCCTTGGTGCTTCATCAAACTGTTGGAAATGTTTTGGTGAAAATGTTGCACGCAAGGAGATAAACGCTCAAATCGAAATTGATCATCCATCGACAAAACTAGCAGGGCTGCCTTACTTTGGCAAAACTTGACATTTTCAGTGTGGTAGCTGCTCAGATGTTGTTGTTGTTGTTTCCCATAGCAAAGAAAACAGTAACAGGCAGTTCACAGAAAGTTAGTCTCCTGAAATCAGCAGCCAATCTTACATCCAATGAGTCCGACAAGGTGGTAGCCAACTCCACGCTCAAGAGCCAGTGGTTTAGATTTGCAAAACCCTAAAGAGCTGGCAACAGATGCAGACACAGCTCTGTTTTTATAGCACTGACTGTCTACATATAGATTCCCATTCTGCTGTTTTTGTGTAAATTTTCAATTTACTCACAAACACCAGGATAGAAATGCAAAAACAAAACAAAGAAGGATCTTTTCTGTAACTTCTGTTATTTTCTATAAAACTCTAAATGATCACAGTTACTGCAAATCGTGCACTTATCGTAAGTGGACATTTTGGTAAAACGCTCATTTATTTCCTCATTTCCCAGTAAACCCGGCAACCAATCCCAACCACAGCACCGCTGCATTACAATAATGGACCCGAACCTTTCAGCCTGAGCTCATCTACGCTAGAGGACAACCCACTGAGCCGATTGTCATCCCTGCACTCAGGATAACTGTCTCTTCAGTATTCTACAAGGTTGCATATGTGCATTTTAATGACTGTATATTCTCGGCATGTTTCTGTCATGTATTAGACGGTGGGAGGACACTGTCACTAGAAGGACAGATCTTTTGAACGAAGCGCTCGTCCTTGACACAGATCAGGGTGTCTCAGCTGTTCCAGAGGACATGACTCAGGAGTCGCTACGTCACATTTGAATTTAAAACGAAAGATAAGAGTTTTCACAGTTTATTTATTAGTGTATTTGGGATTTTTTAGGCTGTAATAGATGCTGCTTCACCACTGTGTTATTATTAATCAACTTTTTGGTTATTGAATTACATATAATTTTGTCATTTTTGAAGCAAGGACACATAAAAATACGCAAAACATGTTTAAACATTAGGCGGATGGGATGCAGCTAATAAATCCCTATCCACTGCAGGAATACTGGCCTGACCTTTGACCTCTTTTCATTGAGATTTACTTTAACTGGGCTGCCATGTCATTTCGTCTAGTTGTTGTTGTTTCTTTTTCTTTTTTGTTGGATGGTTTAAATGCACGAAACCAGAGAGAGTGCACTCAGTATGAACTTTGTGTGATACAAATGAGTGTTGTTGCTTCTACAGTCTATAAAATCCAGGAGCAGCCTGAGAACATAAGGCCTGGCAGGCTATTAGAGTCTTAGCCTGGGAAGGAAGACGAAGCAAATGACTCCCATTTCACTTCAGATAAATGCAATTAAATTTCACATGAGCACTTATGTGGAGCACGGACGGATGGGATCGCGTTTCAGAGCAAAGACACATGTCCCATAAGTACCATGTAATCAACTTGAGTCCGCCTTTTTTCAACAATGTAATTCACGGTGGCGTCTTGCTCAAGTGGAAATGAGAACTGAGATGGTTTCTCTACCTTACAGTGCCTGATTTCACTAAGTGTGTTTCAAAGTTCATCAGTTGAAAATATTTAGTACAGAACAAACTATAGGAATGCAGATTGCACATTATAGTGCAAAAACAGAAGAATAAACCTCATAAAAGTCTTATCAGTCCCATTTTAGTCATGATTATAGATGTTACATTGCATTTACGAGCTGTTCCTCACTCTTTTATTGCCAATAACTACAACAATAACATTGCCAAAAATCGAATTGCCTTTGTGTTTCAGACAAATGCTGCAATCTAAAGGTGTTGGCTTTAATAACCAGCAAAGATTTCATTGAAAACCTGCAGGGAGAGTGAAGTTTGTTCTCTCCTTGGGGCTCAATAAAGTAGATCTTACCTTATCTTATCTTGAGTGATTTCATTTGGTGAACAGTCAGAGTTGAGGAGAAGTGATGTCAGATATCCACAGATGGCTGAGCTCAGCAGATTGTGGTGATTGATGCTGTGTATCCACTGTGGCAGCTGTGAACAGAAGCATACATTTCATATGCACACAGACCTAAGGTTGACTTTCTTGGGTTTTTATTTTTTTTTGAGCCCGAACTGGTCCCCTGAAGTCAATTTACCAAAGAATGAGGTGATGGTTTTTGCTGACTCACCGGTTGAACCTTTTAGTATGAATACCCTATTGGTTTAGGATATTTGGTTGGGGACACTGGATGGAAAACACCTTTCTCAGCTTGGAATTGAGGTTCCACTGGGCTTGTATGCTGCTGAGGAAAAAAAAGCATGTCAAATTAAAAAGAGGCTTAGAAATATGTTTATGTCACTTTTTTCTTGATTAACAACATTTAGAAAGTAGGTTCACACAAGAAATAAGCAATTACACAACATATTTCTCTTATTTACCTCTACTTGTATGCAACATATTTTTAGTTTTATGGTCCAGGTTTGGATTTTATCAACCTTTAAGACTTCTGCCTTTACATTCTGTACTGTAGAAGAGAGTGTAATGTCATCTTTTCGGCCCGAATAAATGAAAATTTAAATATGTCCAACAGTTTTCATTGGCACTGTCTTTTTGGTGCAAAGTATGTAGCTCCAATAAAAACCCTACACAGTAGGGGCTGTAGAGCTCCCAAAAATAACTGGGGCATCAGTTCTGGAAAGACACACTGTTGGTCTTTTTTCAATGCTGTGAGCACAACAAGCACATTTACATTCATCAACATTTTGGATGAAATTAGACAAGCAAATCCAGATCCATGTGTACAAGCATTTTTTGTGTGAAGTACGTCTTTAATTATTTAGCTTTATGGAAAATCACTGTGGCAGCATGTTATTTACAGACTTTTGTGCGTCCTGCAGTTGGAACTGTGCTCATCTGTTTGCACTTTGGTTTGTTATTTTCACCGAGATGGAGAGGCTCTTTATCCCCTGACCCCTATGTCAAGACTGTAGGGATGCATGACCTTCCAAACCATCACAAATCTTAATTATAGGACAGTGTTATTGGTAAGTGTTGATAAGCAGTTATTTGTTGCCATTCAGACACACGTCATCCTTGATATGATGAGTTGTGGAGAGCCACAGACACATTAGAGCAACCTATAGATTTTTGCATCGATGTGCACTGTGTCCCTTGCCCACACTAATATGTGGGCCTTTCGTGTGTTAAGGGAGTGTAAATGCGCTCGCTTGTGTACTCTCAAACCTTTTCCACATTTCAGGGGCCCTGAGGTCTTATTTGGGGTTTGGGAGTGCTCATAACCTAGTGCATATGAAATATACAGTGTCATTTTCTTTCCTGTGAGTTGTGGGATCTGCTTCCATCGTCATTATATTTGACAGTTGAATTCCACAAATAAAAATCCAATTTTCAGTCACTATCTAGATGTAGTTGCATGAAATGCAAGCTGGAATGTGAGGATAGGGGCAGATGGACAGGGTTTATTAGTAAAAAGGAGAGGAGTTCAGGGACTCTGCTGCTGATAGAATGAGATATGGAAGCTATTCAATGCATGTAGAAAAAGTAAAGACCTTCAGTAAGAGCAAGATCTGATGTGCAAAAAGAACAAATGTTTTCATGGCTTTATTCCAATGCTGCAGTTGACTGCAATAAATGGGCTGCAAGGTGGATTGGTGGTTAGCACTGTTGTCTTGCAGCTAGAAGGTTGCCGGTTTGCGTCCCGGTGATAACAACCGGGATCTTTTTGCATGGAGTTTGCATGTTCTCCCCGTGCAGCGTGGGTTCTCTCCGGGTTCTCCGGCTTCCTCCCACAGTCCTCCCCACAGTCCAAAAACATGTTGAGGTTAATTGGTGATTCTAAATTGTCTGTAGGTGTGAATGTGAGTGTGCTTGGTTGTCTGTCTTTAAGTGTAGCCCTGTGAAAAATTGGGTGTCCCCTGTCTTCGCCCTGAGTCAGCTGGGATAGGCTCCAGCTCCCCGCGACCCTAGTGAGGATTAAGCGGTGTATAGATAATGGATGGATGGATGGATGCTTAATGGATTCTTTAATTTTGTGTCTGTAGCAGCTTTTCTTTAAGTGTCTTTCAACTTTCAGGTCATTTTTCAAAAGACAGATGAGGTCAATGTGCTTCTTTTTGATTAGGAGGACATTCCTATGCACAGATATTCATTCATAGATATATCTATACATGTATATACTTCACATGTTCAAGTGCATATGCATTGGTCATAAATACAGGATTTGTTAAAAAGTAACAACATTAAATCCACTTTTTGATTCACCGTATTTCATTATTCATTTATTCTGATTCTAGCTTTAAAAACAAAAATATCTGTGAAAAATGCATGACTCACCTCTGCATTTGTGTTTTTCTTTTTTTTCTGTGCACTTCTGACTTGAAGTGGGTGGAGCTTAGCTGGAAAAAGCTGATGTCATTTACCCCATTCACCAATCACACTGTAGGAATATTTGAATGAAAATCTGATGGCAACTCTGGGCTTGTTTGTTGCCAACACTGTCAGTTGTAAGTCAGGGTTATGATGAGCTGTAAATGCAGTGTACTCGTGTAACCGTTCTCTGTTTTTGTCTCTCTCTGTCTGTTTACAGCCATGGGAGTGCTAATGTCAAAGAAGCAGCAGGTGGAGAAGGTGCAGAAATGCAACGCTGTCGTCTCTGCCTTCCAGGCGGGCATCAAGGATCGCGCTGTCGCAGTCAAGCAGCCAGACGGAGATGCAGAGGAAGGTGAGGGGCCTGTCAAGGCTTCAGCCAATCCTGAGGAAAAGAACACAGAGGAGGCGGAGCAAGAGGAGACGGACAATAGTGCAAGTCCGTCCACCTCCCAGCAGGCCTCAGCTCCGGCGAGAGATGAGTGTAAAGTCAACCAGGAGGCTTGGTCAAGGTTACGGGATGGGAAAGGAGTCGAGCCGGAAGACCTAGACAAGAGCCATCAGCTCACGCCGCCTGCTTTCGTGCGACCCAAAAGGGAAGCCGATGATGACCAGCCCGTAGAGGTGGAGCTGGAAAAGAAAGAGCAGGTATTACATGATAGCCAAAGAAACTGAGAATCCACAGCGAAAGTGTTTTTTGAGTCAAACATAAAAAAAAAATCACATTGATATGACAAAACACACACACTACAAATCTCCACGTACTGGGATTAAAGAGATGACTGCAAGATGTCAAAGAATCTCCATGGCAACAGCAGCACATTATCTTCTTTTCCTCCCTCATATCAGGGAGTTTGATAAAGCAGTTTAGGCACGCTGTAAAGGGACTCTTAAGCTTTATCTAAACACCCGAGTTGACAGGGAGAAAGTTTTCTGCAAGGCCCTTTCATTTCCACACAAGCTGCGATATGTTGTTGATGTGCGAGAGGGCTCTTCACAGCGAGCGTGTTGTGGGCGGGCTGCTTTGGCTGGTTCTGAGAGGTGACCATTTCCATGGGGATGCTGACTAACAGGGGATGGAGTTCGCAGGAGCGCCGACACCATCAGGTTTTTCTGTTCGGCAAAGAGTAAACATTGCATGGCAACTTGTTGTACCAACGGTGCTGCGGTTTAACAAGAGGTAGAGAAATAAAAGCTTCTGTCTTGGAGTTAAGAAAGGCTGAAGCAGAATGGAAATAACAGGTTTAAAGATAAGTAGACCACAATAAATACAGCAATGTTATGGAAGAATTTTGCCAAACTAATGCTTCTAGTAGGTGGGATTACTGGGTATGGCACTAAGCTAATTTTCCTTTTATTTTGTCAAATTAAAACCTCTGTGTCTCCATTCACAAATGTTTCCTTGTAGATGTTTCTACTATATGCTGATGACACGCTGTTGTGAGTATTTTTTTAAATTAATGTGAACTAATATCTAACCTAACTGGGTACTTTGAAGCATTTCTCAAATTTTATGGAAAGAAATATAAAAATCTGAAGGTATCTATGTCAAAAACTCCATTTATTGGTTCTTTACACCACCACTTCTATTACTTTTCATGTGTACAACCAAGCATAACATTGCGAGTGCCCTCCAGGAAAGGCTGTCTAAAAATGTGGGATGCTATTGCCATATTTAAATGATACAGCATCTCTGCCCTCTCTAACACAGCCTGCTTCTCACCTCACCTTACAATGATGCCATTTGGGACAGTTACAAACACGTTTGCTTGCCAACATGCTTGGAAATCATGTTGTGCACAATATTTCTTCTCTCGCATAACCCAGAACGACGAAGAACAGCAGAAGTCAGTCGCTGCTTCCTACACACATTTAGTACAGCATAGTGTAATGAAAACTGAAGTCAGCAGGGTCGGTTTAGATGTTAGTCTTGATTTTTAGAGAAATAACTGCCTTCTGGCAAATGGGCTATTGACCTTCTCCAGAACTTGTGGCCTGTGCTAAAAGCATAGATCACATTTTGGCCATAACTGTGATGGATGTAGTCGTCATATGTATAAGTTGAAGTAGAAGATAAACTCGAACTGATACTATGACATCTGGGATTTGTTTGCAACCCTGAAGCCAGCACTGTGGCACTGAAATAGATATACAAAACAGCAAGGAAAGAAACTGACAGTGTCTTTGTGTTGTAAACTGACCAAGCATTCTGCAGTCATTTCCCCTGGCTTGACAGCTGAGTGCATCCTGGCTGCAGAGTGAATTTGCAGGGAAGCTGGACAAAGGCTGACACTGAACACTTCAGACAAGGGCACACACATCAGACTGATGCCAGAGGTAGCGATGTCGTAATTATCTGTCTTAAAACACAAGCAAATTACTGTACACGACACAAATCGCCATTATATAATACTACTCCCACTATCAAACCGCACTCCTACCACATGGATCAGTGCCTAATCTTTCCTCTTGACCTGCTAGACGAGCTTTGGTGGACAGGCATGCTGTGATTTATTTCAAGGTGATTGAACGAATGTTGTACAAAAACCGAGCATGCATGCAAAACAAAAATCTTCACAGCCTCGCTCTGCTTTCTCCCTCAGCCACCGAGCGACGAGATGTGCGATGTGTGTGAGGTGTGGACGGCTGATGACTTGTACCCCTGCCGGATCTGCACTCGAGTGTTTCACGACGGCTGCCTGAGGGAGCTGGGCTACCTGCGTGCCGAGGCCTTGCAGGAGATGAGAGATACAGCCCACACTGTTACTGGCTGGAGCTGCTACTATTGTGTAAGTCCGCACGACTTCACTGCCACCGTCACTGACTGGAACACAAATAAGCAGTTTAAAAAAAAAAGCAAATGTATGGACAGACACCAAAAATAGATCACACACTATTTTTGGGAGAATTTGTGTCCATATTTATGGAGGGGCAACTCAACATTTGATAACTGCACTGAAACAATAAGGAATCAGGGAAATCTCAGAGCTAATGGTTTACTTCTCAACTCACTCAATCAAACAAGTAATCGTAAGGTTGTTTGTACATGAATAGAAAAAGATAATATAAAATACATATTTGCATGTTCTTGAGGTACAATCAGAGTTGTTTTTTTAAGCCAGTCAAAACAAAGAATATCTACTTGTCAGTAAATTTACTATGATATGCCATGATATGTTGACACCTATCAATAACCCTACTGGAGGCTTGCATTCTAAATATGCACGTCAACATCACCAACAACTGGGCTCTTTGACTTAAAGAGAAGTGTTCCAACCTCGTAGACATGAACGTGTATGTTTCTTTCTCAGAACTGAATCAGAAGAAATATTGCAGTACGAAACATCATCAAACTAACGATAAATTACCACACAAACACAGCATCCAACATGTAGCGGAGTAGAGGCTATCTTAAAAATATATAGATATCTATTATGTCTGATATTAAAGCTTATATAAAAAAAGAGGCTTGGGATAAGTTAAAAAGGGTGTCTTTACATAGTTCGTCCATTTGTGTACACTCTAACTCCTCAGCAGCGCATGCAGCAGAGTATTTATCGCAGCTAAGCAGACAGTGGTGCGGAGTAAAGCAGTGTCTTCACAGTATACTGCTAACTAGTTGGTGAAATACGTTGCTGGAGAGTTAATAAACAGTGACACCTTTTCAGCAAAACTCTACTATATTCCTGTAATAAATAGCACGTCATTCATCATTAAACTTTAAAATTTGTTTGCTATAGCTAAGTGACCTTATAGTCACATGTCAGCTGATTGGAAGCCAGTGGTGTTAGCATCGAAGTTCACTCTCCCTGTAGATTACAACATTAACAGGAGTTGAACTGATGGTAAATGTATAAATTGTTGTAGTTTTATACAACTTCCAAAGCAAATAATTGTAGTCCGTGTATATACAAAAGCTATAATCTAAAAATTTGGTTTTATAGCGGAATCAATGTTAATGTCTTAGCTCAGCTGTAGCAAACTTGTTTGTGACCATTTTACTTTGAGATTATAATTTTCAGATGAAATAGAAATCCACTTTAACGTGATTTAGTTGAGACAACATGAGACAACATATAGACTTCACCTATGTTATTTTTGACATACGTAAATACAGATATAGTATAGAGAAATACATCAGGAGTGAATATTAGGCTATTTAGAGTAGAATGCTAAATAGTATGCAGTGCAGACTAGTGTGTTTCGGCCAAAAGATCAATATTTGGATTTTTAATTGCCATATGCCCAAAAATCCACTGTCGGTCGGGCTATACAAAATAAAAAAATAAAAACTAGCTTGAGTTATTATTAGATTGTTTATACCGGCCAAGAGAACCATAGAGCTGCCTGCAGATAAGATCTTTCCCCAGGGGTAGCCAGAGCCACCATCCACAGACCCCTAATGCTGTGCAACAGTCTGGGGTTTGTGTTCACGAGCAGAGAAGCAGAGTCTGGTGGTGCGGAAACAGGCTCGACAATTAGTGTTGGAAACAAGGAGGAGAGGAGCAGTCGCTATCTTTTACACTGTTTTGTACAAGCTGGTGTTGCACAAACAACCGTCCACTGCAGAAAATAAGGGGAGGCAGTGTTTTAAAAATCCTCTCAATTCCTCCTATATTCCAGAAAATGTGAAGGGACTCACTGGGCTTTGTTATTACTTGCTATGAATGCTATTCCCCCTGTTGTTGGCCGGCTGGAATACTGCTATGTCGATCGGTCCGGGTCACAAAAGCATTGGATCAGAATAACTTACTCCATCTTTAAATCACGTCTGACAAGGTTTTGGCATTTAACTGTTGCCACCTAACATCAAGGTTGCATTTGGTGTCCATCACTGTGAGTTAAGGTCATTATTAAGCTATAGCTTTGCAAATGTGCCAATTATCATTATGGCTGGTGAAATCAGCTGCTGGTATAGATTGTTTTTAAGCCCTGACAGTTATGTAAGTTCTAATTAGAGCTGCAGCTGTTTCAATGTGAGAATGACAGTCTTTCAAATTGTACTTTTTTTATATATGCATGAGCATCGTGGGAGTTGTTCTGATGGATAGAAGACTGGTTCTCCAAGAGATAAGGGCAGTGATCTCTTTTGATGTGGCCTCCTAGCAGACAATTATTGTGCTGCACAAATGTGAGGCTTTTTTTTATAGTTAAACTATTTCAGATAGAATTCAAATATAGTGAGGCAACACTTTTGGCAGAGTTTTCAGCAGTAAAACAAACGGCTGCTTCTCATTGCGGATTCAAAGCCAATGCTGAGACCCATGACTCTCCGGTGATCATCACCCTGCGAGAGGCATAATGCAATCTACTTTAATTGAAGCACAAACAGCTTAAGGGAGCTTTTACAGGAGGACCCTTCAAACTGGAGTAGGGGCTTCACTGTCTTTTACCAGCCCCTGAGAAACAAAATCACTTACCAAAGTTGTGCAACAGGAGGATTTTTTTACTTTATTTCTTTTCACACAATCTGCGAGAAGATGGTGAACGGTGCAGTGTCCTTGGCTGGCTCCTTCCTGTGTCAGAGGACTGAGGTTGAAAGGACACAATTCAGCAGGAGGGAGAAGGAAATGCTTTTTTTAAATTGTGAATTCTGGTCCTTATTGCAAAAAAAAGGAACTAGCTATTTTGATAGCACATGCCATTCAGCTGTTACAAATCCCCCCTTCTGTTGCATCTGACATTTAATTTCACACAGGCACCAGAGGCTGCCGCTTGCAGATGGACTGAGTTCCCTTGAAAGTGGATTTACAGTCCGCCTTCAAAGTAGACTACTGCAAGTATGGCTCAATCCCAGCCAGTCAGATGGAGGACGGATTCATGCATGCAGATGACCCTTCTTTATTGCACTGGCTTCATTTTCATTCTTGCAGCTGCAGGCCCCTAAGACTTCTAAGAGCTGAAGTACCACGGGGACACTCAAGTCAAAGTTTGGGATTTCCTGTAAGAGAGGGAAATGTTCCTGTCTTGGAATAAAGTGTAAAATGCTCTGAGGTTTACAGCTGTATTGATTGATTTTTAGCCACAAGAACTCAGTGTAACAAGCCAATAATTAAAAGTCTGACCTTACATACACCTACCAGTTCCAGCACTAAAACCACCCGCCTAATGCTGTGCTGTCAAAACAGCTCTGACTTACTCAGACGTGAACTCCACGAGACCTCTGGAGGTGTCCTGTGGTATCAAGCACCAAGACATGAGCAGCAGATCCTTTAAAGGTCCCATTTCGTGCCCTTTTTCCAGTAAATAAATCACGGC